TGGAGAAGGTACCATGAGGTGCTCAGAAAAAGTTATATTCTTTTGTTTTAGGATGAAATGTTCTATAGACGTCTGTCAAGAACATTTGGTTCATAACTTCTGTTAATGTCAAAGTGTCTCGGTTTAGTTTCTGTTTCCATGATCTGTCCATTGCTGAGAGTGGGTTGTTGAAATACCCCACTATTATTGTGTGAGGTGTAATGTGTGTTTTGAGCTTTAGTAAAGTTTCTTTTACGTATGTAGGTGCCCTTGCATTTGGAGCATAGATGTTCAGAATTGAGAGTTCACCTTGGTAGATTTTTCCTTTGATGAGTATGAAGTGTCCTTCCTTATCTTTTTTGATTAATTTTGAATGAAAGTCAATTTTATTTGATATTAGAATGGCTACTCCAGCTTGTTTCTTGGGACCATTGGCTTGGATAATTGTTTTCCACCCTTTTATTCTGAGGTAGTGTCAGTCTTTGTCACTGAGGTGCCTTTCTTGTATGCTGCAAAATTCTGGGTCTTGTTTGTGTATCCAGTCTGATAGTCTGTGTCGTTTTATTGGGGAATTGAGACCATTGATGTTAAGAGATATTAAGGAAAAATGATTGTGGCTTCCTGTTATTTTTTTTATTAGAGGTAGAATTATGTTTGTATAGTTATTTTCTTTCGGGGTTGTTGGAAGATTACTTCCTTGCCTTTTCTAGGTTGTAGTTTCCCTCCTTGCGTTGGCGTTTTCCATCAATTATCCTTTGAAGTGCTGGGTTTGTGGGAAGATATTGTGCAAATTTGGTTTTGTCATGGAATATCTTGGTTTCACCATCTATAGTGATTGAGAGTTTTGCTGGATATAGTAATCTGGGCTGGCAATTGTGTCCTCTTAGGGTCTGTATGATGTCAGTCCAGGCTCTTCTAGCTTTTATAGTCTCTGGTGAGAAGTCTGGTGTAATTTTTATAGGTCTGCCTTTACATGTTACTTGACCTTTTTCCCTTACTGCTTTTAGTATTTTTTCTTTGTTTTGTGCATCTGATGTTTTGATCATTATGTGACGGGAGGTATTTCTTTTCTGGTCTAGTCTATTTGGTGTTTTGTAGGCTTCTTGTATGTTTATGGGCATCTTGTTCTTTAGGTTAGGGAAGTTTTCCTCAATAACTTTGTTGAAGATATTTACTGTCCCTTTAAGTTGGGAGTCTTCATTCTCATCTATACCTATTATCCTTAGGTTTGGTCTTCTCATTGTGTCCTGGATTTCCTGGATGTTTTGAGTTAGGATTTTTTTGCATTTTGCATTTTCTTTGACAATTGTGTCAGTATTTTCCACTGTATCTTCTGCACCTGAGATTCTCTCTTCTATCTCTTGTATTCGGTTGGTGATGCTTGTGTCTATGACTCCTGATCTCTTTCTTAGGTTTTCTATCTCCATGGTTGTCTCCCTTTGAGATTTCTTTATTGTTTCTATTTCCATTTTCATATCCTGAATGTTTTTGTTTAATTTCTTCTTTGTGTTTTCTTGCATTTCTTTAAGCGATTTCTGTGATTCCTCTTTAAGGGCTTCTACCTGTTTACTTGTACTCTCTTGTATTTCTTTAAGGGAGTTACTTATGTCCTTCTTATAATCCTCTATCATCATCATGAGAAGTGATTTTAATTCTGAATCCCGCTTTTCCAGTGTGATGGTGTGTCCAGGGCTTGCTATATTGGGAGAACTGGGTACTGATGATGCCAAGAAACTTTGGTTTCTGTTGCTTATGTTCTTGCGCTTGCCTTTCACCATCTGGTTAACTCTAGTGTTACCTGCCCTCACTGTGTAAGACTGGAGTCTGTATTTCCAGTTATCTTGCTTGTTGCAGAGCTCCTCAGAGTCCAGATGTCTCTTTGGTCTTATGATCCTAATCTCCTGGGTGGAAGAATTCCTGGGACTCAGGCCACCTCTTGGATCTGGAAATCCTTCTGCTCTTGGTGCAGTGGTTCCTCTAGGATGGCTCAGGATACAATTTCTGCCAAGTGCAAACCACCTTGGTGTCTGCTGCTCTGAGTGCAGTGGCTCCTCTAGGATGGCTCAGGATTCAGTATCTCCACAGGAGCAGACCAAGTCTGTGTTGGCTGTTCTGAGTGCAGTGGCTCCTCTAGGATGGCTCAGGATTCAGTATCCCCACAGGAGCAGACCAACTCTGTGTCTGCCCCAGCCCAAAGGACCAGGCAGGGGCAGAAGGGAAGTGAAATTCCAGAGGGGTGGAGTTTGGGTAGCTGGAGTGTCCTGAATGTCCCTGGCTCCCAGATGTATCTCTGGGGCTTAGGGAGTGAGATGGAGTTCTTACCGGCTGCTCTGAGTGCAGTGGCTCCTCTAGGATGGCTCAGGATTCAGTATCTCCACAGGAGCAGACCAACTCTGTGTCTGCCCAGCCCAAAGGACCAGGCAGGGCTCAACATTTCTTTAGAAAGCATAATGTCAAGTCAAAGGTAAAAGCTGAAACTAGTTCTATAAATAACCAATAATTTGAATTTGGGTTTGGATGGGCTTAGTTCTATAAGTTGAGATATAATCATACTTAAATTATTACAATTAAAACGAAATTTTAACTTCTTAACAAACAATATAGCTATTATAAACATCATTTCTTTTTTTTTACCAATATCTTCTTGAAAGAAATCAAGAAGTTTAAAAGTCCTAGAATTCATCAAGTATGAAAGCCCAACTTTAACACAGAAGTAAGAAAGATATAGGCAACTGTGCTTCTGTGCAGATACATTTCACAAGCTGGGGAGAAGTTTTATGTACTAATATATTGTCAAAAAAAGACCTCATCAATTAGAGAAGTATGGGCTCTTACCAAAAGACAATGCATGAACAAATCAATTCTCTGTGAGAGTCTATGGGGAATTCCCTTTAGAACAGTGACTGTTCTCCTAGGCATTGTGGAGTTGAACCATCTACAGAGAAACTTCAACAGTTTCACTGGGTTTTGCAACCTTTGGAATCATAAACAAAGTGACTGCACACCATTGTGTTTTTATTATTTATTTATTTATTTATTTATTTTGTTATTTTATTTATTTACATTTTAAATGCTGTCCTCCTTCCTGGTCTTACCTCTACAACCTTCCCCATTCCATCTCCCCTCCCCTTTACCTCTATGTAGGTGCACTTCCACCCCCCCAACACCCACTCCCTGCCTCATCCCTCTACTATTCCCCTATGCTGGGGCATCAAGCCTCCATATGACGAACGGCCTTCCCTCCCATTGACGCCAGACAAGGCAGTCCTCTGCTATATATGTAGCTGGAGCCATAGACCCATCCATGTATACTGTTTGGCTGGCATTTTAGTCCCTGGGAGCTCTGGGTAGTCCAGTTAGTTGATATTGTTGTTCTTATGGGGTTACAATCCCTTCAGCTTCTTCATTCCTTCCTTTAACTTTTCCATTGGGGTTCCTGGACTCAGTCCTATCATTAGTTGTGAGTATCTGTATCTGTATTAGCTAGGTACTGGAAGAGCCTCTCAGGAGGCAGCTATACCAGGCTCCTGTCAGTAAGCATTTCTTGGCATCAGCAAGAGTGTCTGGGTTTGCTGTCTACAGATGGGATGGATCCCTAGGTGAGACAGTCTCTGGCTGGCCTTTCCTTCAGTCTCTTCTCCATTTTTTGCCCCTGTATCTGTTTAAAAAGGAACAATTCTGGGTTAAAAATTTTGAGATGGGCGGGTGGCAACATCCCTCAACAGGGAGACGTGCCTAAAATGTGTATTATATTTAAAATTTTGTGATTTTCTACCTAAGGGTAGAATTTAGAAGAAGACTTGACAAATCTCTACTTCAAGTAGATAACGTCTGATATGTTTAGACAAATTTTAACTTATGTGGAAAATATATTCCTTCTGCTTTGAGTTGTATTATTTCTGAACTAAAAGAGATTTTGGTAAGGTCAAAGAACTAGATGCTCTTCTGGTACCAACTCCAGATGGAGCTGGCAGAGAATGCTACCCCAAGTTCCAGATGGAGAGCTTTACTCCACTTAAATCTAGTGGGAAAGTGTACTAATGAATGTCAAGGGGATGGAGAAGAGCACGAAAATAGACAAAGACTCTCCATGGCATGCGTCTAGAGCTCTGCCTCCCGAATATGACTACCACCAATTTTGTCAGAGAGCATGTTTTAAAAATGCAGATTCTGTTTCAGTAGTGGGGTTGGGGCTCAGGTACCTTCTTCTTCTTCTTCTTTTTCTTTTTAGTTATTTATTTATTTTTTAAAATCAAATCATAATTTTTACTTATTCACACAGGGGTTATAAACACAAAAAGGCAGGACATGGGGAAGGGAATGACACCAGAGCATGGGTGTACAGGGGGAATACAGATATCTTTCAGAACAAGGTATAGGCTGGGTGAAGGTTCAGGAGACAGGTCACTGTGACTCTGCCTATGATTCACTTTTTCTACCTAATCATTTGGAAAGAACCAGGGATGCTTTTAGTAACTAGTGAATAAGTGAAGCCACACAGAAGAACACATACCCAGTGGAATGTTTCCTTTCTTTTTTATTTAGCATGACATGAAAACTTAAAGAGACTCTAGCATTTTCAGATTAGAAATCCCAACAATTTAAGAATTTTATTAGGCTGGGCAGTGGTGGCGCACACCTTTAATCCCAGCACTTGGGAGGCAGAGACAGGTGGATTTCTGAGTTCAAGGCCAGCCTGGTCTACAGAGTGAGTTCCAGGACAGCCAGGGCTATACAGAGAAACCTTGTCAATGCTACCTTATCATTGTTACAATACTTAGATTCATTTAATTAGACTGTAGAAATGTGATGATTATAATTTCAAAAATCTTTGAACATTTTCTAAAACAAAAACATACCAAACTGGCAAATTCTGTGGCTCTTTTATTTTTTATTTATTTTTTCAGAGTTGAGGACCAGACTAAGGGCCTTGCGCTTGCTAGGCAAGCACTCTACCACTGAGCTAAATCCCCAAACCTCTGTGGCTGTTTTTTAGTTAATGGACAAGAGACTTTCAAGCACTAAACATGCCTCTCTAATCTTTTTTTCAGTGAATCTGTGACTTGTTTGTTCCTCAGGCTGTAGATAATTGGGTTTAGCACAGGAATTATGACTGTATAAAACAGAGAGTCCATCATACCTTGCCCATCTGTTTGTTGAGATGCAGGGAGCACATACATGAAGAGAAGAGGCCCATAATATAAAGACACAGATAAGAGATGGGCACCACAGGTGGAGAAAGCCTTCTTTATACCTTGGAGAGACTTCATTTTTAAAATTGTAAACAGCACGAGTGTATATGAAACCAGGACAGTCATAATGGTGAATACCTGTATTGAGCCAGACAAAATAAATACTAATAGAAGGTTAAGAGTAGGGTCAGTACAGGAAATATTATACAATGGTATGATATCACAATAAAAGTGATGGATTATGTTAGAATTACAGAAGGTTAATCTGAATAAAAACAATACATGAAACAAGGAATGAAGAAAGCCACCTACGAATACTGAAACTAGTAGGCGGATGCATAGTCTGTTGGTCATAATAACTGGATAAAGTAATGGTTTGCATATGGCCACATAACGATCATAAGCCATTGTACCCAAAAGAAAGCATTCTGTGGTCCCACCAAATGCAAAGGCAAAAAACTGTATCATGCACTCAGAAAGTGATATCATCTTGTTCTTGGATAACAAATCAAATAACATATTAGGAGTCACTGTGGATGATATCCAGGCATCCACAAAAGCCAAACTCCCAAGGAAAAAGTACATGGGGATATGCAGGTTGGGGTCACTCCAGATGAGAACAATCAGACCTAGGTTCCCCACAAGAGTGATGAGATATATCATTAAGAATAGCAGGAACAGGGGCACCTGCAGCCCTTGATGATCTGTGAGCCCTGTGAGAACAAACTCTGTCAGCAGTGTTACATTCTCTTCTTCCATGTGCTGCTCACCAGACATTGCCTGAAATGAAATAAACATTCACTAATATTTTAAGGTTAACATGTGAACAGGATTTGATACGAAATCACATCTTTACCAGAACAGTCTTTTAGTTTTTCCAAACTTTTTGGAACTGGGATTACAGGTGACTGTGAGCCTCCATGTGGGCCCTAGACACTGAACCTGGGTTCTCTCTGCAAGACTAGCAAGCACCCATCCTCTTAGCCATCCATCTAGACACGGTTTTGCCATTTTTTATTTTAGCACTGATTTCCATTCAATTAACTCAGTTCCTATGTTAAACCAAAGCTGTACACATCCAAACTGGAGAGAAGAAAGAGGCAATGAACGAATATTAAGCACAGTGATCAAAGAAAACATCAGGTGTTATCCAGAAGACTGTGTATTGTGAACAATAAAAAAAGACAATGAGAATAGTTCAGAAATAAACTGTGAAGTGCAAAAATAACGTGCTAGTGTACTAGTTCTCAACCATTCTAATGCTGCTACCCTTTAACAGAGTTCTTTATGTTGTGGTGATCCCCAACCATAAAAATATTTTCGATGCTACTTTATATCTGTAACTTTGCTACTTTTTATAAATCATAATTGAATATTTGTGTTTTCTGATGGCCTTAGGTATCCCTGGGAAAGGATTGTTCAACTCCCAGATTGAAAACTTGAGAACTGCTGTTCTATGGAAAGAAGAGAGAGAGAGAGAGAGAGAGAGAGAGAGAGAGAGAGAGAGACAAGAGGACTTTCCTTTATTAAATGGAATTTAAAATCATAGAATAACAAGTTGTTCATGTAAAAGGAGTGGCATGAGAATAAAAGAAAAATGAATGTTACAGTACACTCCATCAGAGCACAGAGGGCAGTAGATCCACCTGACTCTTCTATAAAATACTTTAAGCAAATTCTCAAAATGAAGAGTAGGAAAGTAGAAAGAAATTGAGATCAAACAGAGGAAAAAAAAGGAAGAGTGAGGAAAAAGCTAAATTTATGTGAAATGAAAGAAAATGAAAGGCCATGAAAAAAATAGCAAAAGTAGCCATCAGAAGTTGCTAAGTATGGTTAAAGCAAACCATGGAGGGAAGAGAGAGCATGAAAGTCTCACAAAGCAAAATAATGAGAAAAGCTCAGAGGCCTGAGGGAAACATTTGCCCTAACCATGTGTTCATTAATACCTGTTTTATCAGAATCACTTCACTTTATTTAAAAATGCAAGTCTATTTTATGGAATTTACTTATAGTTAAGAGGCTTCAACTTGAATTTTTTTCCTTTTTTATAAGTAGAGAGATAGTGTCTGAAGGTTCATTCTGTTCTTTATCTCATATTTTTTGCAAGTAACAAGAGCCAAATACTGACTCATGACTATATGAAGAATATGTCAATCCTTGCACATATAAAGTAAAATTTTATACAGAATGAGTTTGCTTACTTGCTATCTCAAAAGTATTGAAAATCCTCAAATAAAGTATGTATACGTATCTTTCAAATAACATATATATGCACACATATATATGTGAGCCTGTGTACACATATATATAGTCAAATATACACACATTCATTTAGATATATTCTTCTATGAATAGATAATTAATATTACATATAAATTACTCATACTTCTCAGTAATTTTCCAGTTTTACCATACATTTGTTCATCTACATATAATTGTAACATGAAGAGCCATGAAAGAATTACTACTTAATAGGTATTTAATAGGTAAATCTTCAACTTTAATCAGAGATTGTATTGATCTTTATATAATAATTGTCTAACTATTTCTTATACAATCATAATGTCATCAGTCTGAAAACTGATCTTGGAGGCATATATATTTTATCTCAGCACAACTGATAAGGTATTCATAAATATGGGGGGTGATAATGAAACTTGTTACATGGAATAGTTAATAACCATGCTTCTTGTCCATATTTTAGTCTAAAAATAAAATGTATGGATTTTCAATTTTTGCTTTTTGAAAATATTCCCTGAACATTTTCACATATTGTACATAAATTCCAAAATTACTATAAATTTATAGACTTTTAATCTTGTAAATTTTAAATCTTCTTTACAAAGATTATTAGGAAATATTTTCAATGTTACCAGTATCTTCTAAGGAATTATGGAAATCCTTTAAAAGTCTTTGAATTTTTCAAAAGCAGAAATAACACATAACAGCCCTGATGTGAGGAGTGTGTAGTTCACTGACTCACTCAGATGGCTTCACTAACAGAGCTAAGAAAACGATGTTTATATCACTGCTCCTGCATCCTAGAAGAACACACTTGTGCATTTTTTTCCTAGGGAAGATGTGAAGAACTGAAATTCCCCTCAGAATGCCTTAGGATTCTCTGTGGGATAAAAGGAAGATCATCAACTGGGCATTGCTGATGGAGGTGTGTGCAAAATTCAGGTCTCCCCAGAGGATCGATAGACAACAAATCACTCTGAGCAAATCTAGCTTAAGAAATTAAACTCAGATACAATGTCATCATATTTCATCATCAGTGACATGCTTGATGACTTTGTGGCAACTTTGGTTTAGATATAAAATTGAATGCTGTAGGTGATTTGACGTCACGATGTCTCTACTAATCAAAACATAATTTTAATTAAGCAGCTGTCTATATTTCCTACAAGAGAAAAATCAAAAAATAACATTGCTCTGCTAATACAAATAACATCTTACATTTAAACATGTCTTAACTCACTTAATTTAATCATAAATATAATATTCAAAATTATAATAAGCTATAGGGATACATCAGAGGAAAAATAAAAGCAAATATTATAGGGTAGCAGCCAATAGCTTTTCTGTCCAAATAGGTCCATAAATTTGAAAATGTGAAAGACCAACCAAGGTGATGCTAACTGGGAGAATTTATTTCAATGAATAAGTCTTTAAGAGACATTTTATATTCAAAAACAGAATGTGTGAGCGTGTGCATTCGTCTGTAAATGTGTATCCATATACATATCTATATACATACATTTTTATAACAGAGGAATATTTCATAACAATAATATGCTTTATTTCTTGAACTGATAATAAAGTCAAACTCTGTATTATAGTTTTCTATGTATTATTTATTTCCTTTTCCTCCAGCAAATATATCTTCTGATCATGGTACTTCAAAAGGCATGGTAATGTTAGATTTGATCCTTTGTAGTTCTGAGCACTTAGTATTATTACCTGGATAGGCTTGATAAATTATTTCATTGAATTTAATTTTATGAATCTTCATTTATTTTTATGGCCTATTTCCTAAACCATATACTGTTTTAAAAGTTTTGCTTGGTATAATTTATTGAAAATAATCTAGAAATCACTTCAAAGTATGATCTATGTCCCAGAGTACCAGATAATCAGGAACTGAAAGGTCAAGGTCACCTGAGCAAATAGATTTGGGATAGCCTGGACAAGAGTGAAAAATGTGCTACTGAAGTTGTTAAACAGTTAAAATAAATAAAGTACATGAGTAATTTTAATTATAAGAGGTTGTAATAGATTAAAATACAAAGACATTTTCTGTAATGGTCTTGATCATCCACATACTTTGGTATGCAGAAGTCTTTCAAACAATCTTGTTCAAATATCAAGAGATGACATCATGCTGTTTCAAACTCTGAAATTAAGTTCCTAATACATTTAAACAAATTTTACAAAGAACGTGCATTTTTGAGATAAGCTTACTATTCTCACAGCTAGTAAGCATCTAGCGAACAACAGTTGAGATTTCATCTTATCACAGAAAGAATGTGATAAGATCAGAATCACAAATGATGACAGATGTTGGTATGGATGTATGAAAAGGGTAATACTTATTTACTACTGGTGAATGTGCAAACAGGTGTAGTGACATGGAAATCATTATGAATGTTCTCTGAAAAGCTAGAAATTGGTCTACCACATGATCCAGCTATACCTTTCTTGATCATATACCCAGAGGACTCTAAATTCTCCTGTAAAGATATCTGATCACCCATAGTCATTGTGGTACTATTCCTATACCAGGAGCTGTGTAGTATTAATGAATCATAAAGTTCAGTGAAAGAAATTAGTTACAGCTTTATAACTTTCTCGGTGCTTCTGACACCCACTAAACTTTCAGAAGCATGCATCCTCTGAAAGGGGCACCGGAAGGAAGGATATATCAAGGGCAAATAAGTCAAATTAGCATATGTTCAACATTTTCTTATAGTCAGATCTCAGAATAAAGCCAGACTGAAATTCCTTTCTAGGACAAATCTTGGATTTCACATAAGTACTAGCCTTTCAATGGTTCTCCAGCTTCAGATGTGTCCCCTCAGGGGAATCACTGAGAACAAAATGAGTTGCAGGTATCTTGGGATATGGATCTCTGGAATTACACCATACCATAGTATTGCCTGTTTTAAGTATTTAAAGTACTTTAATCTTTCCAATTGTTTCTCTATAATGCTTTGTCACAGTCTATCAAAAATTCAAGTTTAAGGAAACTATCATTTTAGTCGTGTGATACTTATGTCTACCAAGATAAAAACAGTGGAAGCAATAGTAGTTTGAATTGGTATGCAGCAACTGTTCTAGACAAAGTATTGGATTCACACTTATTCTTTTACATTTGTTTTTTATGTCGTGTGTTTGTGTGTGTGTGTGTGTGTGTGCCACAGAGCATCTACAAGGATTAGACAAAACCATGGGAGTGAATTCTGTCCACCATGTGGGCCCTGAATGAACTGAATTCAAGTATCAATTCCTTTTTTTTAATTTTTATTTTAAAAGCTTTTACTTTTAAAAATATTTATTTTATTTTATGTATATGAGTACACTATAGCTGTCTTTAGACACATCAGAAGAGGGCATTGGGTCCCATTACAGATGGTTTTGAGCCATCATGTAGTTGCTGGGAACCAAACTCAGAACCTCTGAAAGAACAGTCAGTGTTCTTAACTGCTGAGTCAACCCTCCCAGCCTCTCAAGCCTCAATTCTTAAGGGTTGGTAGCAAACTTTTACCAGGAGAGAA